ATGGAGGCCATCGCTAGTAAGTTGGAGGCCACCGCTCTTAGGACGGATGCCGTCGCTAGAAGCCACCGCTTTTAGGATGGAGGCCATCGCTAGTAGGTTGGCCACGCCACCTTCGGCTCGATAGGTGCCACCGTGCTCGCGGAGGCGGAGCTCCGGAAAATCTCGGCCTGGTGGGCATGCTTGGTGGACATTATGAGAACTATGAGGCTTCATGAGGTTTCATACAAATTATGGTGATGCAGCCGAACTGGCTTTCGGGTATATTCAAGCATGAACAGCTGAACTCAGCTATTCAAAGGAGGGCTCGTGTATTGTTGGCCACACCCAGGTCAGGTGTCTCACACCCTCAGTATGCAGGATCCCACTCGGTGGCCTTTCGTATTTGCAAGGAGGTCGAAGCACTTGTCGCCCCGTAGCTCCAGAAATTGGATTCCAATCACCTGGGCGTTTTCTGTGACCAGGATGTGGGAATTCACACTGCGTTGACGGCGTGATGTAGGAAAACGACGTGATGCTTGCCAGGTGTGCGAAATTTACTACCAGTACCCGAATTGGGAAAGCTCAAACAAAGCAATCCTCCAATTCCTGCAACCAGCTCCAGGGTCGGCAAATGTCGGCAATGGAAAGATGTGAGCGGAGGGTCTAGCATTGGTCAAGCATGCTCAGCTTCGTGCGCGAAGCCCGAATCAAAGCGACCACCTTTGGGCAACCACCTTCCATCCCAGTCGCAGGGTCATCACTATCCTCTGGAGAGATGTTGGCAAAGACCTCGAGCGTGGCCATCTCTTCAATGGCACACCTCAAGCGCTGTAGAACACAACCAATGGTCGGTCCACTTCCGAACGGAACAGCAGAAGCTGTGAATGAAAAAAGGCACGGCCCCCCCACCAGCTCCACCAAGACTGCCCACAAGAAAAGGGTAGTCTTGATGCGCGCACATTTTGGCCCTTCAAATGTGCAACGAATGTTTTGTCAAACAAACAATACCAACTGCTTTCAATATACTACAATTGATCATGTGGTATACTCTACGCAACTGAAACCCGAAACCTCGCATTCTCATCCTGTAGCAAGGTCTGATTTCATGGTGGCCTTCGACTGAAAAGCTGGCTCAAGGCTTCCATTTGCCCCGTTTCAACGCAAAGGCGGCAACGTACGGTCTCGAAAGCTGCAGACTGCAAACATGCAATCCATCTCAGCAGTCCTCAGAATAACCACAGTCAAGGGGCATCGTATGCGTCTTGCCGCTGCCAGTTTGTCCAAACATAAAAATGGTGCCGATGCCGCCCTCGCATGCGACTTGCACGATTTCCGCGGCCGCGTGTTTGTAGACTCGCTTGTTGCTGGCTGTGTGCCCGAACACGTGGTCAAACTGAAAGGAGTGGTGGCCTTGGCCGAGCACCACCAGGCAACAACACCAAAAGCATGAAGCTTTAGCCACGCCTTCCAAGGTCAGAAAGTAATCAAAACACAAATTGAATAAAATTGAAAGGTTTACAAGTGGCTGATGAAGGGGGACTTGAGGTCCGCCTCGAAGTGGCAGCTGTGCAAGACCAAGTGCCCAGGGACCACTGAGATCACATCCTGAGATGAAGAAAGCGTTCTTCGAAAATAAGATAGATAAGTGTACCATAGTGTACCCCTTATCAGATTCATAGACCCAGGACCCAGCTGGTGCTTTCTCTTGAGGCAAGGTGCAAAGTCCCCCTTCCTTGGCAGCTGGCTCATGGCACAACACTCAACGCAAGAGCAAACACAAACGTTGACAACTCGAATGATCCGAGCTTCTCCATGTCTCTATCGAAAATGGGTCTCACGCGCACAAAGACCTGATCGGGCACAAAAGAAAGTCACTCCATGCAACTCCTGCTGTATGGCACTGTATGGCACGTGTGTGTGTGTGTGTGTCCAAACGCACCACGTGCACGACGCCTGCACTGATCTTGCACGACGCCGTGGCGTTCTCGCGGTGAGGGCGCTTGGGCCTCTGTCCACCCACCTGCGGTGCAACCGATCTGCTGAGCCGAAGCGAACCGATTCGCCCCTGCGAAGCAAAGGCGAACTGAACTCCTGCGGCTCAGTGACTGGAGCATCCGCTGCTGATAGCGTCCAATGGCTCCCTGAAAAAGTTCTCGATGCATCATTCGCAAGGTGTTCTTGTCGAACATTTGCCGTCCACCTTCCTGGCTTCAGTTTAGGCTAAGGCCATGCAGTGCGGTAGTGCCTACTTCTCACAAATTATCTCTGCAGTGGTGCCGGCCCAAAACAAATCACCGCAACTTCTCCCATTTCCCTCCTCGCTCTTCTCTTTGGATTTCTTCTCGTGACGCTCGTGCTTGTCTTCCCGGTAGCTTGCACGCCGGCTCGTGCCCCCAATGCTGCTGCTGCGCTTTGTGGGTGAAGTCTCCAGGGGTAACGTCGGCACCAGCGGCACGATGGCCTCTTCGCCCGGACGTGGTCGACGCCCTGAGGGGGTGCTGCCGCTGGCCTGATCTCCCCCACCAAAAAAGACAAGGAGAAAAAAGATGTGTGACACACCTGATAATTGACGTTATGTAATAGTTAGATCATTGATTGACTGTTCAAGAGCCTGAATCTGCCTGAATCGTTTTTCCAAACCTTGACAATCAGGGTTTTGAATTCAAGGAACGCTTTCAGTCTTCTTGTCCACCTTCTCGGACTTCTTCTGCTCTCTCTCTCGTTGTTCCTTGCGATTCTCGAGGCGCTTCCGCAAGGCCTCTGGCATTTGTTGCTGAACCGATGGGGAATCACCAAAGTCGAGTCGATAGAATGTGGCTGGTACCTCTTCAGGCGAGTTGGGCACAATTGGTACAACTGCAGAGGTTGAAGCGAGTGGATTGGCACTGAGACCCTCGGAAAGCTCATGTTCCGGATCCAAGATCTCCAAAGCCTCGCCATTCAAGTGTCTCATGGCAGGTGCATCCCAAACGATGGCCGCGGCTTTGCGCTCTGAGGCCAGCTGAAACCTTTGACCCAGCTGCTTCAAAAGCAGCTTCTCTTGTGCATTCATCTCAGTCATCTGTGGGGACCCTTCCAGTGCAGGTTTGTAAATGTGGACTTCCTGAGCCTCATTTGCATCCTCGGCGTCTGAAGGCCTTCCACGCGGTGACATCTGAAAGGGGCCTCCCGTCGGGTCGCACATGTCCGTGAAAGTGACAGCTTGTTCTTGCGCTTTTTTCGAGTGGTGCAACAACAACAATCGCACCAATTGACCACCCACCTATCACATCCTATCACACCGCCCGGCCACCCAAAAAAAGAAGAAGAAAGAGAGCTTCTAAGACTCACATGAACATCAATCAGCACGTTGAAAACGACCCGCTCCTTGTGCCCGAGGAGCTGGGCGAAAGGGAAGCTCTGGAGCTCCAGGTGTGTCATCGCTACTGTTGGGGCTCTCCTTCGGGTCGGAATTCACCTTAGCAACCCAAGATGGACTGTAGGTTGGAGGCCATCGCTAGTAGGTGCTCCAAATGGTCAACACAGTGCCAAGGGACTCCGACTCCTCTCTCCCGTGCGAGTTTTTGTAACTGCCGGGTCTGGACTCGAGTTAAACCCACTTCTGCCAGATCTGAAGTGAGAAGGTCCGCCACCTGGCGGGTTCTGCCACGGTTGGTCTGGGGGAGGTCGGGGCGTCTTTGACTCCTTCCAGCCCCTTTCAAAGCCCCAAATGCACTTGGCACTGGACATGACTGGTAGGGTGGCATGGCAAGCAAGTGTGTAGATGCATGTTGCAGCTCCAGAGTGCATGCATCATTCTGAATCATTCTCCAGGTACTGTTTGCTTTTACGCATCCCCGCCCTCGGCCCAAAGAAAGCTCAGGGTTCTAGGTGGTTCGACAAGCACGTTAAGCAAACGATGATTGTGAGGAATCAAAAGATGACATGAGATGATCTCCCTAGATTGACAAATCCCAGCCAGAGCTTGCCCTTGATTAGACTTAAGAATCACAAAGATTCAGGCTTTGCAATGCTCATGAACTGGTCGAAAATTGATCTGGAAACCTTGAAATTCCCTCTCGGCCTGACTGAGGTTGTCTACACCCAGCTGGCGCAATTTCGGCAGGAACGTGGCCAGTTGCAAGGACTCCAAGGCCGCTTCCAGGTCGGACATGGCGCCATGGCTGGGTCATCCCTGTAAGCTCCCCATGTCTTGAACAGCTGAGTTTCAAACCATCACTTGCTACAGCCGCAAATCCGCTTGTAGCTAACAGAGCCAACAGCACAATCCTCTCCCAGTCTGTCCATCAATCTATCTATCTATTTATCTATCAATCATTCTCAATCTATCTATCTCTCTCGTTACTCTCTCTCTCCCTCTCTTTCGTACGCTCGCTCGCTTGCTCGCTTGCTCGCTTGCGCTGCACGGGTAATTTGGAATAAAATAAACTTTTGCACCACCTGTCTGGTGAGGCCACCCTGGGAGCGCGCCATCGTGTAAGGCCCTCGGTGGCGGGGTCATGTTGGCCTGTGCAGGTCGTCTTTGCCTGGCTACTCCCCAGGAAACTGACCGGGAATGAATGACATCGGATTTCAATGGAACACCACCTGGCAATTACAAGTTCAGGGTGCCTGCAAGAAAACTCGGAGAACTCTTGAAATATCAAAACTGTTGCTCTCGAACTTTCGGACGCTTCTTCAGGATTGTCTGTACGCTCACTGTGGGACCCTTCAACTGTGGGTCCTTTGGTAAGGCATGGGCACAAGGTACATGCTCAGGCTACCTCTAGTGACTCTAGTGACCATCCCACTCCAATCACCACAGTCCGGGAAGCTAGGCTTGGTAGGATCCTTCTCCAAGAAGAGTGCAATGAATAGACGTCCATGCTGTCCAGGGAGTTGTGGTGGTAGGGTGTCATTGTCAGCCCTTGGCCTTCTGTCGGAGTCGGGCATGAGCTTCTCCTTGAGCTTCGGGTGGGGTCCACATGCCTTTACTTTACCCTCAGATAAGGACGACATCTATGGCATGTCAATAAATTCCTGGAACGTCACTGAAGTCAATCTTAAGCGCAAATATAGACTGTGGGACACGACCCCTCGATCAATTTGTCTGCAGAAAGTCTACTATGCTGGTTTAGAAGCGTTGCTCAGGCTACGGGGTTCCCCCGAGGCACTTCCGCGGCAAAAATAAAAAACTGTCCTTCTTTCACCGTTTCTCTGCGGGGGCGCGAGCGGGTACCCATTAGCAAAACAACGCTCGCGCGAACCAGCTCAGGCTCTCATCTATCTAGACTGTCTTCTTCGCAAGTTTGTCAGGAGCAGGTGGAGTCATCAATTTAGTTGTTACAAACTTTCCTCAGCGGATTGTAAAATCACGAAATGGAATCCGGGTCCCCGCAGATGGAATACCTAATTTGGATTGGAGCAACCTCAAAAGGGCCATGGTGCTTGATGACCCCTCGATTATGCTTCCTCTCCCAAAATCCTCCAGAGTCGTCTAAGTTCTCTATCATCTTCAAATCTTTCCAGGTCTTGGAATCGTCAGCATTCTCATTGGCAGACATGTCTTCCGTATAAAGTACTTGCGTGCATTAGTTTCCTCAGCTGATAGTCAGAACAGATGAGGCATGCCATCAATCAGAATTGATTGCATATGTAAAGTAATATGTATTTCATTGTATTTCCTTAAGCTCACAGGATCACGTGGTCACGTGGAATCTCAGTACAAAGACAGAAAGTCAAGCGCCGGGTGATGGGTGACAGATGCACATTTGCCTACCCATCACATGTGGGGAAAAAGAGGTTAATTCATGGGGGGTGGCCTTTGGAGGAGGACCAATTTGGTGGGCAAGCTTCACGGCTGGCAAAATTCAAATGAAGGGAGGGCTGGCAAAATGAAGGGAGGCAAACAACGAATATAGATTTCACCGATGCTCGTCGACAATTATCTGAAGAAAAAGATTACACAATTGATAGAATCTCCTTGGCAACTGAATTAGCCCTCTGAATTGGTTTAGCACCAGGCAAATAAAAGGACGCGCGTTCCAAGCATAGCTGCCAGGAGGAAACACACAAAAAACATCGATACTGGGTGCGATGAGATTAGAGAGTAGGTGCGGTCAGGTAGACATCAGCTGGATGGCTTGGGTCGAGGTGCAGCAAGGAAAGGCGCTGAGCAGTACAAACAACTAATGAGACCCCAGTTATAGAAAGCAAACAGTCTAAGGAAAAATCAATATTGAAGGATCTTGAGGGAACGAATATTGTTCCATTGATGCTGCTGCTAGTCAGTGATTTGAACACAACTTCTAAAAATCAAGGCGTTTTTGGTGCCACTCAGTGAGCGTTGCTCCTAGTAACGCCTGCGCGTCTGATGCTCCAATACCCCATCGCTGGAGGAGTTTGCGGCTGCTGTCCATGAAAGGTGGTTCAGGCTCTCCCATTAGCCGGAGCCGTGCCAAGTACACCTTCAAGAGAATACTACATCCGCATCAAGTGATTCATCAACTTGATACAGGTGAATCACTTGTAGACAAGTGTTTGCTCTAAACTCCCAAAGCCTTCCACCTCGAGCCTTCAACTTGATCCACACATCTGGAAAAAGACTCAAACCGTGTCCCACCTGCCACCTCTCTGCCACATCCTTCAGCTTGTCCAGGAGAATGCTCTTGCCAGCAGAGTCAAACTTGCCATAGCCTTCCCCCATCAGAATTAAGGAGCCGTGGTCTTTCCTGCAGGCGCCAGCCCACTGGCCCCCCTCCCACCTTTCCTGGTTCCATGCTGGAACAGCTGGAACACCAGCAGCCGACAAACCAATTCCAAAACCATCAGTGCACCACCAAACCCTCTGCATTCAAGCAGGTAGCTGAAGATTTTGCAGCTCATCTGCCACCAGTGGTGCTTCCAGATCGTCACGTGAGGCAAAATCCATAGTCAGAGTCTGCGTTTGACCTCCGCGCCAACGCCAAGAAGGAAATGAAAAGGTTTCATACTTACTTAACTAACCCCTAAAATATCCCAAAACCGGCAGAATTCTTTGCCTCAGTGCCTTTGCCAAATCAGCCACTCCCCTTCCCTCCCCGCGCTATTTTCAACTCTCCTTCCGTTTCCCACTCTTCACAAAGAACAGAACAACACACTCAGAAAGCTTGCGAATTTACAATCTCAGATATGGTGCTTCTGTCCTGGGCGGTTGTGTCCCAAGTTCATTGTGCCCAGGTCGTGCCACAGACCCCGCTCCGCTCCCGTGTTTCATCCCAAGAGCCGAAGCGGAAGGAATCCAACAAGCCACGGAGGTGTTGTGCCTTCCTCGGCATAAGTCAACTCCCTTGTTCCTGGCACTTGGGTGTGCACGGGCAGGCGGGCCCCGGGCGGGCACGGGCGCCGTGCCAAGAAGGACTGCAGCCAAGTGTCTCGGATGCCGGATCCACTTCTGGCCCTGGGACGGGTCGGCTTCGACCCATGGCTTCCAAGGCATCAGCTTGCCATATTGCAAAGCGCTCCACCTCAACAATGGACACCTGAGGTGGAGTGAGGCATCATTCATTGAGGATACGTGACGATCTGATATGAGAACCGATATTTTACATAGATATCTTATGCTATCTTCATATCTTCTCGACTATCGTCTCGCTCTTGAAGGTGGCGGAGTCTGCCTTTTCGGGCTTCTCATGCACCATACTATGGCCATCTATTCCCTACTATTCCGACTATTCCCTCCTAGTCCCTACTACCCATTCACTTCAGCAGCAACATGACCAAAAGGGCAGATCAACAATTCTCCCATTCGCATCCCTTCGCCCCATCTGCCGACCCTCCCGTTGCACAAGACGTGTTGAAGATCCAGTGCCACCCGATCCCGCAGCTTCTCCGGGCTCGGCACTCCGAGCTTCTCCAGATGAGCCTCAGTGAACTCGTATAACCTCAGTCTGGAGAAAGCAAGCCTCCATCCAGCTGAAGCTCGATGGAGGCTCAAGGTTTCCCATGAGTCTTCCAAGTTCACTTGAGGCCAGAGGGGGTGAACGAAAGCTAGCCGGGCTTCCGGTGGTCTGCTGCTGGTGCTGCTGCTGCTGGTGCTGCTGCTGCCGCTGCTGCGCTGGGCGCTGCTGCGCTGAGTGCTCTGCAGGCGCCGGGTCGTCTGCTGCTGCTGCTGCTGCTGGCGCTGGGTGGTCTGCTGCGGCTGCTGCTGCCGCGGCGTTGGGTATGCTGCTGCTGCTGCTGCCGCCGCTGGGTGGTCTGCTGCTGCTGCTGGTGCTGCTGCTGCTGCTGCCGCTGCTGCGCTGGGCGCTGCAGATGCTTGGTGTGCTGCAGCTGCTTGGTGGTCCCGCTCACCGCGCGCAGGGGGGAGTCGAACCGCGGGGGGGGGGGGG